CAGGAAAGCCAAAATAGGATTTCATAAATTGAAAACATGATATTTTAAAAATATTAAAAATTAATGTGAGAAATAATTCATAGGTTTTCAACATTTAAAAATTTTATTTCATCACATTCTTCAATGCTGAATTACCCTGAAATAAAATAAACAACCTTTTTGCTTTTTCATTCAAATAAAAAACTTCAGATCATCTCTCTTCTGAGAGATCATAGTTTCTCTTTAATATACTGCACCTAACAAAACCCATCTAGTTCAATAGGAACAAATAAGATGACTTGAATCAATAGTTCAATACAAAAAAAAAAAGGTTCCAATAAAGTCACAAATTTGTGTTATGGATTTTTACAAAATATTTTAATAACATAGCTTTATATATATTTTATCGTTTTAAGACAACACAATATTAAGTGCAACAAATTACAGAATAAATCTTTTGTAGGAGAAAGAGGCTTTTAAAATATGAAATTGTGCTATTACATTTCATGAACACACAACAATTCCATCTTGAAATATTTGCACTCTGTTACATAGCAAAAATACATATTTGTCCAAAGAATATTTATGATTGTAAATTCTTTTAAGGTTACTACTAAACTTTCAAAACTTTTCATTGCAGATAACAGAAATTTTTATAATTTAAGCAATGTTTCAAATGCAAATACTCCCACTTCATGAACACCAAATTTACACTGAAATTCTGTGCTAACTCATTGTGCCCATGGAATTCAAGAAACAAAAATACTCTTTGCTTCTAGAAATACTAATATCCTATTGTCAAGTTAACAATGATTGCATGCATCATAAACAGTTATCATTCTGTGCATTCCTATTAAAAAAACAATTATACACAAAGCTCAGAATGGCATATTGCATTTACTTATTTTGCGTGATGAAGACTCCTTACACTCAACATATTTACAAAATGTCAGAAAACAGCAAAGGCCATCTCTACAGAAGACAGAAACATCAAGATACACATTTCATACAATTATTATCTGTGGTGTAGTAATAACTATTATAAGTAGAGATCAACCTTAATTTTTTTAATGAAAATATTACAGGTCATTGTAAATTGGTGTGTTTCTGTCAATTAAAAATTTTGAAAAATCATATCAGAAAAATGTTGACACACAAAATCTTGTAAAACATGTCTAATCAAACTTCAATTTAAATTTGAGAAATTAGAAAGTAGACTTAAAACATATACTCACTGAATGAAATGAATATCTGATAGCAATTAAAACGGTACCTTAAATGTGCTTTGATGACTATGTTGTATCTTGGCATGCCTTTTTAATGCCTATGCTAAGTGTTTTTAAATGTTAAAACGAAAATGGATTTTCAATGGTTCTCGTAATTAAGCCATGTGATTTCAATTCAGTTCAGATGAAAAAAGGTTAAATTATACATACTTAGATAAGAATTTGAAACAACTACCAATTCCTATTCCAATACATCCAATTCCAGTGGAAATGAAGACCAAGATCCTTCTCAATACAAACTTCTTTGTGCTCTTAGAGGACATAAAAAAGTACCAAGGAGATAATATCCATGAAAAATTAATATTGTTATATTATTACATCATTTATTGACATTGCTGAGCTAAATATGAAAAATAGATTTATCTGTTTTATATACATATACAAAAATATTTGCAGTAGCTTACAAGAAAACATTTTAAATAAGACAAAATGAACAAGAGCATACTTAACATTAGTGTACTGGAAAATTTAATCATCTTCATATTTTGTGTCAACTGGATTGCTACTGCTTTGATCTGACATGCGTATTTTATCAGTACTTACATTGTTCAATTAAGATCAATTTTATGAGCAATATGAAAGAAAAGTTCTGGATATTTATCACGGCAATTTTGTACTATTTACAGTCAAGAATTTCCAAAACATGTTCACGCTTTCAGAGAATGCAAAGAATATGAAGCAGAAAGAATTATGAAACTAATGTCATTAATGTCTAAATATCATTCTAAAATCGTTCTGTACCTATTACAAATTACATTACTGTTATTGTAAAATATTAATAACAATACATTGAAAACATAAATCAACATCTGAATAAACAGCATCTCATTTGCATTCTTACCAAAAACAAAATATTTGTGTTCATCTTTTAATCCATGTTTTAAATTTTAGAAATTCAATACAGATTGAAACAAATGCAAACAAATTTTCATTGATATTTTACACTACTTATGAGTATAACTAGCAATCTCCGGTAACAACCTGAATTATTTTTAACAGCATTTTATTATTCCAAGCAATTTTACAACAAAATATTCAAGTGTAAAATTTGATAGGCAGGTTTTCAATTTGGATTGGTACTATTAACAAGATTAATATCACTTGGATAATGAACTACACAATTCACACAAATGTACAGTTAAGTACACACCTGCTAAACAAAATTAATTTACAACATGAACTTACATTAATATCGTTAACAATAAAATTCTTCCACCAGAGATTCACACACTTTTTTTTAAATATTTTACATTTTTGATATTCATTCAGAAATGAATACTTAATAAATTAGAAGGATAACAAGAACAAAAAAAAGGATCATTTTATCCTCAAACCTGCTTGAATGTCAATTCCTGACAACCTTAATCTAGACGTTATTTCCCTACAAGATAAATACACAAAATAAATGTCACTGGCAAAAACTAAAATATGAATTTGACTTTTTCAAATTAATTTTTTTAAACAAAATAATTGAGTTATAAAGACATAAAATGTGAAAATTTTATGAATAACATATTCCATGTATATCAAAACAAAACTCCTTTGTATTAGATAATATAAATAATTAAACTTTTCAATTCAGTACAAAGTTAACCATAAATGTTGCTTTGAGACATAATATATTTTTCTGTTTATTATACTTAACATAATACACTGTTTTTGTAATAACAGTTTGTTCAGGTAGCAATGAATCGTTTAGATTATCATATCAATTCTTTCTTTCATGGTTAAAAAGATGATAAATGCAATAAATTCAATTCCTGGATGTTCATCACATCATTTCTAGTTCCCTTCTTTTTCTTTCAAAACGTATGTTCAATTCTGATGAAATAATTCCTGTGATCTTGTTAAAATCACAATTTATCTTTTATTCTGAACACAGTAGTAATACATTTTGTTGTTATTTCCAATGACCTTCAGTGAATAACTTATCAAAATTGTGGTCTCCCAAGATAATTTTTAAATTAAAGATATTTAAATGTGTCTTCAACAAGCATCACCTTCCAATGAAACCAAGCAGGCTGGTAAATAATACAAAGTAACCCAAGAATTTAATAACAAACAGTTCATTTCATGAAGTTAGCATTTTTAGCCACATTTCATCATTTGGCCATCAGAAGCACATTTAAAATTAAAACTCTATAGAAAGTACAGATGATTTTTTTTATTCTGTTACAGAGTTTACATTTCATAAATAGCTGTGTAAGTAATTAGAGGTAGGATTATTCTTTCATTGATATTAAAACAGAAGACTTGCAAAGAAGTTTTTCACAGAAGCAACGTAACTTCAAGTGCTTAAACACTTAGCCTCGTCAGATTATTGAACAGAACCAGTGTAATGGCAAGTTACTATTAAACCTCAATTATCACTTTGGCAACAGGTAGAATTTAGTCTTTTTCGTCATTGCATTGCTATCTCCATGAACCTCATGATTGTTAAACATTATGTAAATACATATGATGTCCATATATTTTTCCCAGAATACCAATTTAAGATAGATAAACCACCTCAAAAAATGGTAAATTAACAAAGTGTTGGTGCAAATTTTTATATTCCTGAACCCTTATATTTTATATAAAAATACAGAAAATAACTAAATAACATAATTAATCATTTACATGTGTTTTTATACTCTAGCAATTTATATTTTCTACAACCAAAAAATTATACCAGCACCCAGTGTAGAAACATTAAAACCAAAGAACAATTTAGTTTTGGTAGAATCTTTTATAATTACATTCACAGAGTTCAAGAGTTGATGATAATGAAATTATTTGATCAAAAGATGTATTGACTGTAGTAAAATATATTAGTCACATTGATTCTTGATTTGAAGACACCAAATGTGTCAAATATTATACTGAAAATATGTGAAAGAAGCTACTAAGCATCATTATAAATACATTCATGTTATGAATCACTTTCCTGCATTTTAAATAACAGGATCCTAAATACAATGTGGCTGTTAAGCATTCAACATGTTTTTGGACCTTTCTAAATCAGATTGATTAGACACACAGCTATGAACACAAAACAAAAATATATAAAGAGTGTTAGGAAAATAATTATAATTCTTGTCAATTAAGAAGACATTGTGGAGCTTTTAAAATAGGCCCATAAAATTACATTTCGAGTACCTCAAAATATAAAGAAATTAAAAGAGGAGAAACAAATTAATATAAGATCATTTTACTTCAATGAGTATTTTCCCAAAAACAGAAAGGACAAAAAATTCTTCTCTATTTTACTGAAATGAATAAAAACAACAGAAAAGCTACAAGAACAGAATATAACAAATAGACTGATATGAAGGGACATGATATTAACCATTAATATCCTTTTTTGTAACTTCTGTATTTTCTTCGTTTACCCTCTGCTTGTCTACGAGCGGATTCTTTCATACAAGTCAAATTTAACAAAGAAATAATATTATAAAGAGAAATCAATCAGATTACGTATGATGTTTTTTTTCTTATAATTATTACCAAATATTAGCAATAAATTGAACAAGAACACTCTGGCTAATACAATGCCTGTCTAACCTGTAAAGGAAGTTTTGAAAACTGTACTGTTCATACCTAAATATAAAAATAACATATCATATAATTTGTTTAAAAATGCTTACAATTTCAAAATACATCCATCCATGAATTTTAGTGAATGAAAAAATGAAAATTATCTCAATGCCACGATATTTTCTTTGTATATATTCAATATTTCCTATTAGGCTTCGAAAGAATAGTGAACAACAATCACAAACTTCTGGAAAAAAACCAAAAAAACCATATTGTAATACAGTACTCACATTTTATTGCAGAGGAGATATATCGATAGATAAATTGCATTTATGGTCATAATTACAGTAACATTTCACTCTATTCATGAGATAACATACTCAAAAGACACATTTAGACACATCCACACATAAACCACAATACCCAATAACAGTAAATATTGGCAGTTGACTGGTTGCTAACACAACAAAAACAGTACTCATTGGCATTCAATAACAGGTGGAATTTTCCTCAATCAGTCTTCTTAAGAGTGTTCCCATTGTCAGTAGTAGGTGTTGAAGCAGTTTTGCCATATGAAGATGCCTTGCTGATTTTTGTCATACCAATCATCTTGTACAGGAGCAGAAAAACTAAAAAAATATATACAGTAGGTTAGAAATAAGTAAAGGGCGATTAAGTCTCATTGATTCAAAAACGATTTAAAAAAACTCTACTGATAATTTTTTTCAGTTTTTGAAAGTGAAAGAACACTAATAACAATTTTTTTAACAACAAGAGCATTTCAAATTAAACAAATTTTATTGAGTAACAAATAAAATAAATCCTATGCTTAGTTTCAAAGTATTTGAAAAAAATAGAACTTACATATAGCAATAATTCCAGCACCAATAGAAAAGTATAACGTTGACCCAGAAGTAAGAAGGCATATCAAACAGTACATCATTGGTACCAACACTGCTATAGCCCAACAAGCAGTATTTAGTAGACTGAAATAACGGCGACGCAAACGGAATGGTACTATGCGTCTAACTCCACTTTCTGCAAAAAAATCACCTGTGCGGAAAAAGCTATCCGTCAAGCGATCCTGAAAGCAAGAGAAAAGTACATCAATGAAAAGAAACACATTTTCATTATATAGCAATGAATGAATACTCTTCCACCCTATTATACACACAAATATATTTCATTCCTACAATATCAGTCTGTACTTTCTTAACTTCTCTTTAATTTATGATTCTTTCTACTGACATTTTATTTTCTTGTTCTATACAATCTGTAATTGAGTACACAACCACCAAAAAGGCATTGAACTGCAAGTTGGGCAATCCATACAAGAGCACAGAACTATGTTTATAATCCATGCAGGCTGTTGAGAACCTTCTTGAGAGGAGGGAGAGAAACAAAAGAAACAAAAACTACCTATTGACAATATTGTAGTTGTTGAAGATGACGAAAAAAATGTGAACTTTTGTAATTTTCGAAAACACATAGTTAACAGTAAAAATCAAACTATTGCTACATTTAACTAGTAGTGTTAAAACACTACTTTCTTGCCCCTTGGTACTGGTTATGTAGTAAGAGTACCGCATTTTTGTATATAATAACACGTTTCATTCGATGACCACCGACAACAAAGCACACATGTGGCGATGGGCGCTGCCAATAATGACTTTTTTTATCAATTCTTCCTAAAAGCGCCATTTTTGCCATAAATAGAAGGTGGTCCGTAGTTGGCGTAAACTCAAGCAGAAATTACGAGACTACTCTGTTGTTTTTTTCAAAAAAATTGTACATAACATTTTTGAAGAGCTTATTTTGTACAACAGATTTGTCTGAGAGATCTCAAATTTGTAGTATTGAAAAGTTTTTTTTTCAATTTTCGAAGAAAACGAGCAATACCGAAAATGAGATTAGTGTCATATTTTTTACCATTCATTATCACATACAGGGAGAAAATTTGAAG